CTGAAAGCCCTATGAAGCGGTATATAAGTCTACTGCTATTGCTATTGCTATTCTTTCATTCCCTGGGACATTCCTTGACAGCAGTGATGGTTTGGGGTATTGATTGACAAGTAGTCCTACTATTTAGGGCTATTTTATTCATAACTAGCTATCCATAACAATTCAAAGCTAGTAGATACAGATTAATGTGAAGATATTGTAGAAAAGTAGATGGAGGTAAAAACAAATGTTTCATTTTCCCCTTTTATTAACCTGGTTTGAAACCAAACTCAAGATAATCACAAACAGCAATAGGTATAGTAATCAAATAAATAGAAACATTTTTTTTAAAGAAAGTTGATCTCTTTTTAAGCAAACACAAACAACAATCAGTGAAATGACCAAACTATTTGGAAAGCTTCTAGGTTTTCAAAAATAATTTGACATGGTACGGCTTCTTATAGAATGGCCCAGATTTAAAATATATGTGTGATTTTTGTGTTAATGCAAATACTTTAGACACTACACAAATATTAAATTATATTGTAATAATTATATTGTAAAAATTTGACTTTTGTAGTAAAAAAAAAAGTCAATTTCCATTTTGTAAGATTTAGGATAAATTGTCACTAATTATTTGCTCCAAATATTTATTCAGACATGCTTCATAGACAATACAAAATATATGATTGTTAACACAAGAAATCCTGCATTCACACACAAATACATTTAACAAGATGTTATACACCACATATATACAACATAATTCCAGGCTAGCTGTAACTTTACCTGCAAATGCATGCCCTGTCAGAGAATCCAAACCTGAAATTAAAGAAGTAAAAAACAAAATAAAATCTTTAGCATTAATTTGAATTGAACCTCCACCTCCACCGTAACAAAACATTAACTGTATCACTGGATAATTATCTAGACATCCAGAAAAAAAATGAAGCATTATTTTTCCAAAACAGTGCAATTAGATTTTTGTTAAATAATTTCTAGAATGTAACTTCTATAGTGTTTTAAAGAAACATGATAATCCTTGATTAATTTTTGTTCTAAACTTATTTGAGATAGTTCACACTATTGCCAAGTTACTGATAAAGAAATCAATCTGATAATTATTTGTACAAGTTTAGATGGTAGCTGAGTTTGAACCCTACTTTTCCCAAGAACAGATTCAATATGACAAGATGCTCCTTTGCAAATTTGTGTTTTTATTGTATATAAGTGTGTAATGTCTAGGTGTAGAATAAAACTATATCTACTTTGGGGATGATGAAATTACGGCTCTCCAAATGTGGATGAACTACAATCAACAAGCTGCAGTCAAATGATCAACCATGAATGTTTTATTTCAGAGGCTGTGAAGATTCTCCCTTTATGTATTGCATTTTAGGGAAACACAAGGACTTAATACCCAGACAGAAAGGTCATGACGGTACTAATTTAATGTGGCCAGAACTTTACCAAATGTTTCTAGTAGAGTGGAACTAGTTCATTACTTTCTCCTGCTTAGTTCTCTCATGGGCTCTGTTATTTTTAATTTTGGATTAATTATTATTTGGTTTATTATACTATTTGCACAGTAATTCTCATTCTTTAAAATTCCTGTAAGTATATTGAATCTCATTCTTGAGGGTACACAAGAACGAAATCGGATTAAAAGATGGAGGAAGGAGACCATGGAGCAAGAAATAGCATTAAAGGAGGATATGGCTGAAGGATCTGACCTCCCTTATTCTACCTGGAGGACCCTGAATAGGTTGAGAGTTGGAGGGCCTGATGTAAAACCAAGCTGCTCAACTGGAGACTCTTAGCGAATAACAAAATGCTTTCTGAAGAACGTGGAGAGACATACCAGTCTGGCCCATCTGCTGGTATGTTGGCTACTACCAGGATCATGTACCGATAGTGATTTACTTTTGGCCAACGACAAAGCCAAGAAGGTGGCCTCATTCTGGCAGTTTAAAGTTAGACACGAGGGAAGAGTGAATCTCATGTCCTTCCCATTCAAAAGCCCCCTCCCCCAAAAAAGATAAACATTAATGAGCATTCTGAGATTCCCAGGGGTGGGAAGTTTAACCTCTTTGATCAGAGCTGACAGCCATGACTGGATATTCTAGGCTTCTATTTAATAGGTTTGGGCAGTAAAGAAGAAAGATCAGCTAAACTACTGATTGAAGTTCTCTGAAATCAATTATGAGAGATAAACAAGTGCAGAAGGGTTGACTCCTGTACTACGGACGGACGGGCAAGCTTGCTTAAATATTTGCAAAATGTCGCAGGTCTGAGCTTGCAATCTAAACTGAGGTCCAAGGATATCTGATGTCGGCCTCCAAGGCAGCCTAGATCAGAAGCAGAAACCATGAAATTCTATCTTTATTGTAACATTCACACATACTGATTGGATGTCATGCCACCGCCTGATAATGCACTTTTGAAAGAGATCAAACTGATCTCTGCGTTTTTGACAGAGTGAGTGAGCGAGCATTTCTCCCACTTGTGACCCATCAGGCATCCGGGGATAGGAAAAGCACAGTTAATTTCCATTCGGTGCCAGGAAGGTTCCTGATCTTATTATGGATAGTGCTGTTTACCAGTTGATCCAGCAGCCTCCACTTCCATTGCAGTGATTTTAAGGAAGTCCAATGCGGAGAAAAGATGAAGACGTTCTTTTTATGCCAAAACATTGTGGGATAATTTTAAAATATGTACAGCTCACCACTGATAATGCCATTTTAGAATAATAAGCTAGATAAAGATAGCTATTTTTGCATAACTCTGTTTCAGACATCTGGGGAAATCACTTAATATTATTTTTTTTACTTCTGTATCAAAGAGATATTTTTTCTTCTTTACTTTTCTTTTGGAAATGACAGATGCTTCAAATTGCTAATAACCATCTTTATTTCTTCTTTTGCACATGTGGAAATTTTAATACGTAGATGTTTAAAAGTACTAATAGAGACGTTAGACATAAATGATTAGAATAATTTAAAACAATCAGGCAGTTGGGTAACCCTTTCTGACATAATAACGAAGCATCTGAACTGAACTGTCCTACTCCCTATATGTCCCCAATTATACAACTTAATTAGTGAGGTATGAGTAATAGTTCAAAATATTTCTAGTTTCAAAATTCATGGTGGATTATTAATGTAAACATCAGGAATTTTAATCATTTTAATAATAAAACAACTGCCGCTACTGCACCCTGGGGTAATGGAATATTTAATATGATACAAACTTTGAATCTTCTACAAGTTAATTGAAAATATATATATATATAGCATAAACACCTATCACTGTATATTGAATAGCAATAGCAATAGCAGTAGACTTATATACCGCTTCATAGGGCTTTCAGGCCTCTCTAAGCGGTTTACAGAGAGTCAGCATATTGCCCCCNTTGCATGTGTGCTGATAAATAAATAAAGGGAGACTAGTATAGATCTATTTCAAGCTATTTAGCTCTCATCAGCTAGCCATACCCTTACTGGGATTAAAGAATTAATTAAAGATAATTTGTATATCTATACTGGACTATTTTTCCCCCAAATAATTTCTTTATTTTTGTGCTCAATTATGGACATATGTGGAGGAATACCTGTATGTTATCTCAAAACCAGAGCTAACATTGACTTTTTTTCATGATTCATCATCTTCCATAAACCTCTAATCCATGAATTTATCCTCTCATCTTTTAAATTCTTTTAAAATAGTGACCACTACCAGAATTTATAATGATGAATTTTACAGGTTAATTCTATGCCGTGTGAACAAGTACTTTCTTAGCCTGTTTTAAAACGCTTTCCAATCAGGATCATCAATGACCTTGTCATTGTGGGGAAAATTGGAGGAGGAATTGGAGGAGGAAGTGCATTGGATCACTGGAAGCGTTTAAGAAGAGACAACTACTTGTCTGGAATAATATAAGCTTTCCTGTTTGAGCAAAGGGTTGGAGTAGCAGACATCCCAGTTCCCTTCCAACTATCTTATTCTGTTATTCTTTTGTTCTGTTAACTGCTGATAAGAAAGTGCCCAGAATGCAGGTCATGCTGACTTGTATATATGTATCTGCATCTTCCTGGTTCCATTCGTAAAAATTGGGATCTTTATCTCTCTCTTTTATTTCACTCTGTTCGATGTTATATGAAACAGAATGAAACACCGCATAACTTTGGAATTAGCATTTATAGAACTAGATGCTACGGATTAAAACATCTGTATTATATTTCAAAAGGTTATTGCTGTTAAAAATATGTAAAATATTTTGTGTGTAATTAAACTCCACAGACATTAATACCGGGAGTCATTATAGGCTCCAAATGTCATCCATGTATCTTCATTTAATTGTGGAATCACTGAAACCATTTTTTGTTCTTTTTGCAATGCAGCAAATATCATGGATACACATGGAAAAAGCATTATAGCTGTTAGAGACTCATTTCTGTATCTTTGATAACTGCCCAGTTTTGTCCCTCTATTTATTTAATTGTATTTATAGAAGTATTTGGATTTTAGGCCACGTCCCCAGGTGGCATACAGAAACACAAAAAATATAACAATTTGAAGCATATGAAATCCTGTAAAAAGGAACAAATCCTATATTAACATAGAACGAAAGGATCATTTTGGTGAGATAATTATTTTAGACAATGAAGCTATTGTAGGTCAACTGAATGAGATATGACTTGAAAGCTTTCTTAAATAACTTTTTTTTCCCTCCAGTGAATTTCACAAACGCACGGAAATCCAGAGAAAAGTATTGATCCTAAGTCAGAATCAGCTGACACTGGAGGTGACCTCCCTAAATTCACTTAGCAAACATTGACGATCTTTCAGAAAGGAGGCATTCTTTCAGGGGTCCTGGCCCAAACCATTTTGGTTTTTAAAAGGGTCAGATTATAGCACTGATTATAATTAGTACTATCCAAGTGCAATATCATTCCTTGAAACAATGGCTCTAAGTAAGAATAATTGTAACTGCCTCACTGGTGGCTGATTTAGAGATCAGGCTCCTACTTAGCTACTAAAAACTCATTTAGTAGTGGATCAGTTGCTAAAAATCACTTAGCAGTGGAACAGTTGCTTAAGACTCACTTAGTGTTGGAACAATTGCTTAAAACTCACTTAGTAGTAGAATAGTTACTCAAAACTCACCTAGCAGTGGAACCATTGCTTAAGACTCACTTAGTGTTGGAACAATTGCTTAAAACTCACTTAATAGAATAGTTACTTAAAACTCACCTAGCAGTGGAACGGTTGTTTAAAACTCACCTAGTCATGGAAAGTAATGACTGAGACCTAAGTGGCTGCTCACAACCACTCGATTCTCCTGGCATCAGTGCAGCTGAGTGAATCCCCCCACTAAAATAAATGGTACGTGAGCATGATTATCGCCTGCTGCTGCCAGTGGTGCTCTAATGTGCTATGAGATTGCTTAATTCCCAGACCCATAATGGAGCTGCGGCCCCTCGTTAAGCCAAATTCCTGTGCAGAAAAAGAAGCCGATGGTTTTCCCTGATGTGGATAGACTTCTCCAGTATCAGCTATTGCACCGTGCTTGGTAAATCCACACACACACACAAGGCAGAAGAAGATCAATTGAGCAGTTGCAGCAATGACCTTGTTGCTACAGTCAAGGAAGAAGGAAGATCTAGGAAGGGCAGGCTGATCACGGAGTACCAGGCTCTGCAGATGAGCCCAGCGCCTCTTTTCTAAGGCTAATAAACAATTAGCTGTATTTTAGGACACAAATCAAAGAAGAAAGGCAGGTAATCAAAAACAATTCACAGATTATCTGTCACATCTG